TCTTCTCAATACGCCCCGGTGTATGGTACCGTAATCGTAACATCACTCCCCAATCCGCTCCGATGTATGGTACCCGGACCATAACATCACTCCTCAATCCGCTCCGATGTATGGTACCCGAACCATAACATCACTCTTCAATCTGCTCTGATGTATGGTACCCAAACCATAACATCACTCCTCAATCCGCTCCGATGTATGGTACCCGAACCATAACATCACTCCTCAATCTGCTCTGATGTATGGTACCCGAACCATAACATCACTCCTCAATCCGCTCCGATGTATGGTACCCGAACCATAACATCACTCTTCAATCTGCTCTGATGTATGGTACCCGAACCATAACATCACTCCTCAATCCGCTCCGATGTATGGTACCCGAACCATAACATCACTCCTCAATCTGCTCGACCTGCTCTTTCACCAATCCCATCGCGCGTGCTCGCTCCCCAGCGAAATTCTCTACTCTACAAGCGCACTCATCTGGCTAGGTTACTCCCTAGGCTCTTCCATTGTCCTCCCACTTCTTTGCTATCAGCTGCTGAAGAGCTCTTAATGATGCCAGCCATCTACCTCCTGAATATCGTCATATTCACTTGGTAGCTGACTCCCATCATTGAGAGTTCCACAAAGCACAAAGCAAGCAGCATTCGAGCATCGAAGAATACATATGACTCCCTCTCTGTGATAACTCCACTTTATCGGCTCATCCTCGAAAGTACCACCGAACTCTGTAACTCTACCCCTCATGGGTTCTAACTGGATACTCTCACTCATCACATACTCAAAAGAATAACACATATAACAACGAGTCCTAGGCTAAGGCATCACAAATCAAGCCACTCTAGTCCTAACATATGAAATACCTAGCCTGTCTCTAGCATGCAATAATATCTCATAAAGTGCATCATAAATAACTCATAACACAAAAGTAAGGGTATTTTGGGAAATCACCGTTCGGGCTCTGGCTGATTGTACACACTGCTCTTTCTTGCTTTCTCTTTGAACTCTTATTCACTTTTAGAAAGTTATTTCCTTAAAAACTTTTCTTACTCCCTCAGTTTGGGTCCAGATTTACCCGAAGGCGCCTCCGAATCCCTCAAACCAAGGCTCTGATACCAACTTGTAACACCGTAAATTTCAAGACAAAATTTTCATTTAAAATAATCATTTTATTCTTATAAACGCTTGTTTAAAATCTCATTCATAGTTGAATTACAAAACATAACTCCATTTTTCACTTTCATAGAAAACCAGGATCCTCCAAAATATGACTTTTTCTCTGGTGTGTACAATCAAGCCGGTGTCGTCCCGTGATACTGAAAGAAACCTGAAAAACATCACACAAAACACTATAAGCACGAAGCTTAGTGAGTTCCCTAAAATACCAAACATAACACATATTAGCCACTCGAGGCTATAACTCTATGGATCCGTGCACCCAAACTCTGTGAACCCTCAGGTTCTAACTCTGGGAACCTTCCGGTTCCAACTCTATAACATGCATAACATAAATCACATAGAAATAATGCAGTACAACACATCACGTACATATAGCATACAAATACTCTGATCACATAACTCTGATTACCTACTGAAGGTAAAGTATAGTGAGAAGACTCACCTGGCGAGCAGAAAGCAGATATCCCCACACTTAAATCTCAAACTCGCCACCACCTAACACGTAAGGCAAATACTCTCATGAATATAACTCTCGAGACTAGAATCAATCCTCTCATGGCACCCTCTTAAGGGTAAAAGACTATTTTACCCCTCTCTTGGCCCAAAGGCCACATCGCTGACAAACCCTAAAAGTCAACGGCCAACCCTTGGTCAAAATCAAAGTCCTCAGTCAAAGTCAACCCCTGACTGACCCTACTCGCCGAGTCAACCCTGTGACTCATCGAGTTCCCATAATCAGAACTTCACTCAATCCGCGACCTAACTCGCCGAGTCACACCAAGACTCACCGAGTCCAACAACTCTGAGTCCACTCGCACACAATTCACCGAGTCATCCCTCGACTCACCGATTCTCGACTCAACCAGAGAATATCGGGACCCTTCGACAAGACTCGCCGAGTCCAGGAACAGACTCGCCGAGTCTAAGGCTATCATCAACCTACTCGCCGAGTTGTTCTTCCAACTCGCCGAGTCCCAGCTCATCTTCAAGCAACTCGTCGAGTATACCCATGTGACTCGCCGAGTACCACCGGTCTGAATCCATTCAGAAGCATTCCAGGCCATGCAACTGCTCCAAAACATAGGTCTAGCCTCCCACCACTCATCCATCACGTAAAGTGGCAAACTTTACGTGACTCCAAAGAGATCTAGGCCGTTTGCACATTGGGCTAGGGTTTGGGACATGTAAGCTTCATTAAACACTCCAACACAGGGACTTTCATGCTCTCTGATTCTTCTCCCTTCCAAATCTGAGGTAGCAACCTCAGATCTAACCTCTAGACTTCCCATTTCATCCATAGACAAATTCCCACAACCCCAAAATGAAGAAACAACATAACAACAACCCAATAACGAGATATTACCTCTAAGAGATGCCCCAACTGCAATGTAATTCGAATCCAAGCAAAGCCCCTTGCTCCAAGCCTTCAATCTCCAAAAAATCCTTCAACAATTACTTCTCCAAGCTCCAATCCACTCAACAATGGTGCTTCTCCGCGATTTAGGGTTTTCTGGGGCTCAAGGGGTGATAAAGAGGCTGAGAGGAAAACATAATGATCTTTATATAAGTCTCAACCCCGAGGATTAGGGTTTTCTCCACTCAGCGCCTACTCGCCGAGTCTATCTCACTGACTCGCCGAGTCGGCAACTTAACACGCGACCAAGTCGCGACTCTACTCGCCGAGTCTATCAATGGACTCGCCGAGTCACTCTTTCACAACTTACTCTTTTAGCCCCTTCAACTCTATTCTTGATATTTCGGGATGTTACACATCCATTATTATTTAATATATACATGAATTTACATCATCTCTTCATTTTCATCTTTATTCAAAACTATTATGTAAAAATACAAACGTTACTTCACATTTCGCTTATGTTTTCCTAATATTAACTACTTAACCTTACATAAACAACACCAACAGTGAAGAATACATATAAACGAAAACCAAGAACAAATCAAAAAGGTAAATAAAATATGTTTTGTTTACTTCTGAACACAAGCAAAACTAATATTCATTCGTAAATATGTATGTTATATTTACATATGAATAAAACATAGCTTGTTGCATACATACATGATTTATATGTAAATACAAAAAGAATAACTTACATATGTTCTATTCACATATTAATATAACAAAACATATTCATATGTGAATAAAAAAATATGAATACATATGTTTTATTCAAATATTCATCCGTGAATATGTATGTTATATTTACATATGAATAGAACATAGCTTGCTGCCATACATACATTATTTATATGTGAATACAACAAGAATCACTTACATATGTTCTATTCATATGTGAATATAACAAAACACATTCATATGTGAATAAAAAAAATATGAATACATATGTTTTATTCAAATATTCTTTCGTGAATATGTATGTTATATTCACATATGAATAGAACATAGCTTGCAGTCATACATACATTATTCATATGTGAATATAACAAGAATCTCTTACGTATGTTCTATTCATATGTAAATATAACATAACATATTCATATGTGAATAAAAAAATATGAATACATATGTTTTATTCAAATATTCATTCGTGAATATGTATGTTATATTTACATATGAATAAAACATAGCTTGCTACCATACATACATTATTTATATGTGAATACAACAAGAATCACTTACATATGTTCTATTCATATGTGAATATAACAAAACATATTCATATGTGAATAAAAAATATGAATACATATGTTTTATTCAAATATTCATTCGTGAATATGTATGTTATATTCACATATGAATAGAATATAGTTTGTTGTCATACATACATTATTCATATGTGAATAAAACAAGAATCACTTACATATGTTCTATTCACATATGAATATAACAAAACAAGAATGACTTACATACGTTCTATTCACATATGAATATAACAGAAAATATTCATATGTTAATAAAAAATATGAATACATATGTGTTATTCAAATATTCATTCGTGAATATGTATGTTATATTCACATATGAATAGAACACATCTTGCTGCCATACATACATTATTCAAATGTGAATACAACAAGAATGAAATATATATGTTCTATTCACATATGAATATAACAAAACATATTCATATGTGAATAAAAATATGAATACATATGTTTTATTCAAATATTCATTCATGAATATGTATTTTATATTCACATATGAATAGAACATAACTTGCTGTCATACATACATTACTCAAATGTGAATACAACAAGAATGACTTATATATGTTATATTCACATATGAATACAACAAAACATATTCATATGTGAATAAAAAAAATATGAATACATATGTTTTATTCAAATATTCATTCGTGAATATCAAACTCATTTATGTTCTACTTACTATTGAATGAAGGTAAGAACACTAACATTTCCGATAAAGATTCACCAACAATGAGAGAAACAAGATCAATGTAGAAGATGAAAAATGCGAAAGGTACAAAATTCTTATCATATCTAATATATTCATATATGAATAAAATTGTATATATTAGTTATATTTTTGTAATAAATAAATATTAATAAATCAACGAGCATATATCATATTCATATATCAGTAACTTATTCAAATATTATATGTTTTCATTTCCCAGATAAAAAAGAAACAAAAGTACCAAAGAAAATAAAGCATCAAAGTAGAAAAAGTCCATCAAAAAGGAAAACTCCTGAAAAACAACTACAAGATTCAGACTCTGATTTTGAAAGTAGTCATCCATCGAAGAAGGCAAAAAAATGAGTCACCAATCAAAAAAGACAAAAAAAAAACAATGGTAAAATAGTTTTACTCAATGAAAAACAGATGTTCACCAAAGACATTACTATCTATAATCCTTGGGATGAGCAAAGAACAAAAAGAATCTGTAAGATCTATGGGTTTTGGAGCTTTGTTAAAAATGAAAATCACAGATATACCACTGAAACTGGGATTTTATGTTCTTCAAAATTTTGATTATGAGAGAATGGTGATAGATATTGAAGGAAAGGAACTGAAAGTAACATCAGGGTTTGTTCATGACATGTTGGGCATACCAATTGGTAGAACCAAACTTACACAACTGGATCAATGGCCTAAGGATGATACAAGTTATGATGAATGGAAGCAACAATTTAAAAAAGATTCAATCATCCGACTGAGTGCAATCAAAAATGTTATTGTTTCTACCATACAAGTTGATCTTAATTTCAAATTGAACTTCTTAGTTCTTTTTGTCAACATGCTTTGCAAGTCAACATCAATGGGAAGATGCAACCTGTTTCCCTTGAGTTATATTTCAAGAAAAACATATATCAGCAACATAGGCTGGTGCAACAATGTTTTGGATTGTCTTGTCAGAACAAAAAACTCCTACATACCATACTCAGATACCAGCTTCTTTGTTGGACCTTCAGCTTTCTTGGTGGTAAGTTATTATAATGTTTATACTTAATTTTTAATAATATTGATTATTCATAAACTAATAGCAAATATTCATATATGAATAAGAAAATATATTTGTTCACACGTAATGATTTACATTACTTATTCATATATGAATAAATAAAAAAATAATATTACTTGTTCATATATGAATATCAATGAGTTATCATTTATGTGCAGTTGTTCTATGCTGATAACATCCACTCAGAAGCTTTAACAATAACACGTAAACGTCCAACAATTTATTATTGGAGTTTAGAGAAGATTAGATACCGAGAGACATTTGAACAAGAAAAAGGTAGATTTGGACTTGGAGAATTAAACGAAGAATTTGTTAATAAACAAGATGAAGGAGATACAGATCTCGAAGAAAGTGATTTTGATAAAGATGAAGATCATTTTGTTGAAGTAATTAGTTTGAACATGTTAATAATATATGATTACATTAATTTCTAATCATACTTCTTTTTATTACATAGGCATATGAATCAAAAATATCTAAAATGCTTAATAGTTTCGAGAGGATGAAGAAAAAGCTGAATTCAAAGCTCAATGATGCGATAACAAAGTTCCCTGAAAAGGAAAGTTTTAGGATTTTAGAAGAAAAGATGACAAATATAATTGGTGAAGAAAAAACAGAAGGCACAACTAATTTTGAATTTCCAAGTAATCAAACTGGATTTGAAGGAATTAACTTAACACCAATAATAGGTTAAAAAACAAATGATCAAAAAGAAAATGAAGATGATGAAGGAAATCATGAAGAAGGAAATGATAATGATGGAAGTCAACTGGAAGTGGATTACTTGCTTGATTCAAATGAAGCAGAGAATGAAGGAATAAAGAATGATGGAGATAAGAATCAAAAAGAAGGTGAAACTGAAGTAAAAGGGAAAGATGGAAAGAACAATGAAAATGATAATGATGAAGAGAAAAAAGATGATGATGCTGAAGAAACAAATAATCATGAAGAGACTATTCAACAAACTGAAAATGAAAATTTGTTGGATAAAGTTGTTGACAACATTGTGGACAATATCCTTGGAATTCAAATTTCAAGTTTAAATAGTCAAGAAGATGAAATCTGGAATGACCCTGAAATGAAAACTATTTTGGATAATATTGATATAGGTAAATTTTGTCTTACTTTTACTTTTAAAAAATATATAAAAATATTAATACATAATAACAATTTTGTTTTTTAAATTTTAACCAGGGTCACCAATGAGTACAGGTAAAACTAATACTCTTGCAGAAAAGGAAAAATCAGAAGGTGTACGTGAACAAGGAACAAAAGTTGAGATGATATAGGTAAATGAATGATTTAAAATATATTACCATATTTATATTGATTTTTTTAATAACATTGTTTATTCATAAGTGAATAATACACTATATAAATGAATAAAAAATAAAAAAAATATTCATATATAATGGATATATTTCAGGCAAGGAAAACTCTGAAGATAAAAATAAAGGAGGAACAGAAGCTAAGAACATGAAAGATGGAGGTGAAGATAAACATACATAAACTGAGAAAGGAAATGCAAAAGATAAAGGTAAATAGTTGAATCACTAATAAATGAATATAATAAGTTTTATTATTCACAAATAAATAACGCAATATAAAAAAATAAAATTTTAATATTTCTTATTCATAAATAATGATATGCATTACTTATTCATAAATGAATACATTACTTATTCGCATATGAATTACTTAATCAAAGTTCTTTATCTTTCAGGAAAGAAAAAGTCAGAAAATAAAAACAAGAAAGGAGAAAAAGCTGACAAGACAAAATGAAATAAAGGAGGTAACAATTTGGATAAACATTTCAAAAATATAAACTCAAATATTATAATTAACTTACAACTATTTATATGATAAATCTTCTGGCATGCCGATACTCATCCAAGCTTTAGTCTAGGTCTCGATCAAGATTCAGATCAAACTTCAAGTAAAAAATCTAATGAATCTTCACCAAAAAACCACTTACAAAGAAACAAATCAAAGACGACCATCAGAAGGTTGTTATCAGATTAGCAAAGAAAAATGTTCTTAATCCAAATCCAATCTATGTATCAATTCCTACTGAAATAGGACCATCAAAGCATGATCTGGATCAACCAAGAGAGAAGAAGCTTGCTGATGCTTTAAAATCACCTTTCAAATGCAGAATAACAGACACAAAACCCAAACTGACACATCAGGAGAGTATTGTCTATGAATGGTTGTTCAACTTACAAGGCAATACATCGTAAGTAAATTTATTTTATATAAATTCATATATGATTATTATATAGATAATAATCTATGACATTTTGATTATATATTTGCAGAGATGTGGTTGTCCATACAAAATATGGTCAGATAACAAAAAGAGCAACTATGGAAAGTCTATATGCAAACACGGAAATTTTTGGAGAAGTTTTAGACACTTGGTCTGATTTACTTAACCACCAAGAACTGGAAAGGGATTTTGGAAATTTACCATACAGACTCTTCTTGAAAGTTGGAGTTTCTGTAAGTTTATGTTCTAACCTTAATTCCTTCCTTATTGATAAATGAATACACCAATATGATGTATTCATTTATGAATATTATACTTTTTTACAACTGAAATTCACATATGATTATACAAACATAATTATATATATTCAACTGAAATCCACATATGATTATATTGGTTACAAACTGCTTATCTAACTTCAACATTGTCTGATGAAAGAAGATATGAAAAAATCAAGGAGAACTTTCATGACAGTACCATAAAAGATATTGAACATAAAAGATATTGACATTATATGTTAATTAAAGTTGTTTTTATATATATTTTATTAACAAAATACTTACCATTATATACATAAAAACATGTATTCTTTCCAGTTGTTAGAAGTGCTCACATTTTTGTGATTGTCTTCAATTTAAAGAAACCATTAATTGAAATTCTAGACAATAGTGTAGTTGAGGGGGATTATGAAAGGAAATACGAAGTAATATTGAAACCTTTGGCATGTACCCAATTCACAACAGTCTTTGTTGGATGCATTTTATATTCCAAAAAAAATATACAATACATCAAGATATCAAGTTTTATGTTAAACATAGTATTATATAACCCAACATATCAATTTCATCATCTTATTTAATGACTAGGCATCCATGTCAGCAATGAAATCGGTAAAATGTATGTTAAATGGAGAAAATGATCAAACTATCACTAAATTTTAGTTTGAGACTTATTCATAAATTAAGGTAAAATAATGAAAACTTTAATAAAACAGGTAAGTAATGAAACCGGTAAACCAAAAAAAATGGGTTTAATCGTCATTTTTACCGGCATGTTTTTTCATAAGCAAATTTTAGTTTAATATTTTTTCGTAAATTAATGTAAAATTTTAGAATTTTTTTGAAGAGTTCTTTTATATTTTTTTATAGAGGACTAAACTTGCTAATATAAAAAAAATACTAAAACCTAAAATTTTGCTATTAATAGGGTAGTTGCTTTTTGATTATATATAATAAAATAATGGGTAATCAATTGTATATAGCCATGAACTTAAAAACGTAAACCAGTTTTAAGATCATGATTTGTACATTGTAAATTAAATATTATTTGCGATATGTGTTCGTGTTTTATTGGAGAGACTTCGTCAATCGGCAAGATTATGTTGGGCCCAAAACCAACCATATATTTCACACGGGGAGACCAACTATGTATATGGTCCACCTTTGTATTCACATTTTCTTCTAAATAATATAAACAACATTAAACCTGATTGATGCATGAACTTCGTTAAGCACTCAATTCGACATGATCTGGAACGGATTGATTCTCTTTATGAACTTTATGATATTCATATGCAAGATCTTGACACATGGCCAATGTAGCAAAATCATTTGAGTTCATGCTAAGAAGACAAAACGAATCCCCATAATCAAGATATAAAGCTCATGACACTGGGAACTACTTTTAATTTTTATTATTTCTCCAATATACAGTTGGTCAATGAGAGATTTGTTTTATATTAAGTAGTTTCTTTTAACTACAGTTGTGATAAAATGTTGAAATTACACAACAAAATGAATTGATATTAGGGTTTATTTTATAAAATAACTTACATCTTGACTTTTATTTTTCGTTGTAGACAAAAAAATCTCCAAGAAGACAACTTTTACTCGTTCTTTGTTATTTTAGTCTTGTAACCAATAGGTAAATTGGGTTTATTCCATAAGAGACATTATATTTTGCATTTTACTGTTTTAGACAAAAAAAAAATCAAAATAAACTCAAACATAACATAATATGTAACATACATGTTTTGAAATCATGCTTTGTAATAAAAAAAATTGTGAAATACTATCTGAAATTGAGTGTTGAGTTCTAACTGATGGTTTTTACTAGGAATGAAGTAAAATTATGTTTAGAATCACTCAGAAAATATTGAAAGTCTGATGAGATTCTAATTAAAAGTCAAATAGTGAAATTTAGCGAAAATATAAAATTTGAAATAAGTAAAATTTTATTATTGGAAGTTGTAAATAATCTCGTTAGAAACTTGAAGGCGAAAACGTCGTCGAAATCCGAGTTATAATGAAGAAGTTATGACCAACTGAAGATCCGCGATAAAACTGACACAGTGCCGAATGACGTAAAAAGTGAGTTTTTGATAAACTACTTTTCAGCCTTAGTAATCGAAATGAAAGTCGTACTATTCGTTAAACCGAGAAATTCGATACAAATAACGCCAAAATCTGACTTCGTATGAGGAAATTATGATTTTTCTAAGTTTCGGATTAGAAGTAGACAGCTAAAAACTTGAATTTTAGATCGAGCGATATTTGGCCGATACATCCTAAACAAGAATCGAAGGTCTTGTCATTACTAGTACAACGGTAAAAAATCTGACGAAAACAGATGTCGAATGAAGAAGTTATGAATTTTTAATGGATTTTCCTGTCCCGGTCTGTTAAAAATAATAATATTAAAATTAAAGTCAAAATTAGCCGATGAAGTCTAAACGAAAGTTGTAGAGCATAATTTTAGCTACGCATGCATATAAAGAACGTCAAAAACAGAGCTCGTATGCCAAAAGTTATGAATTTTGGAAGATTAGGGCACAATTTTCGAGAATTTTCGCATGAATAGTGCCAGGCCACGTCACCTCGCACGAAGCAGCAACGTATCCGAGACGTGGCCCAGTCCGAGAAGCGACGCATGTCTCAATCCGAAGCAGCCACGTAACGCACACGAGCCCCTGACGCGCCCTTCGCATCGGAGCCATGTCCGAGCCTCGCAGCGGCCTCGTGGCCTTCGCTTCTCCTGTCGCGTGTCCGAAGCTCGCATGAGCCACGCCTCTCCCTCCGGACCGAGCCTCGCAGATGCGATGTGGACCCTTCTGAGCCACAAGGTCCGAACCCTCTCACCCTATATAAAGGGAGGCTGCAAGCCTTCCCGGGTAACTTTGAATTTTTGACACTTTTTCACCCTAATTCCATATATTCACTATTTTGACTTTCCCCGAAGCCCCGGTATCAATTTTAGCACCCAAAACACGTCCCGAAGCTCCCAAGAAGCCCGGAAATTTTATCTTTTCGGTTTTGAAGCCCTACCTTCACAGAGCCCGGTTTTCAATTAAGCTCCCGTTTTTCAACATAGAAAGTCATATTTAAAGCCGAAGTGTTGTCCAAATTACTATTTTAACCCCCGGTTAATTTAAGGTGAGTTCAATATATATGAACAATTGTATGTTATGTGTTATATGTGCTATGTGCTTTTCAGTGTTATTATTCCGGGTTATTTTGCCGTGTTATTTTATTCGCTATTTTTATAGCAAATGTAATACCTTTGACCATGTGATCAGTGAAAGGACTTAGATTCATATTGGTACTGATACGTAGCCTCTCACCATGTAGAGCATGTCTCCGTAAGAGAATCACTTCTATTCTATGGCAATGGCAAATGGTTAGACAGGATTATAAGCCTGAAATCTAACAAGATGTTAATCAGAAATTGTATGTCTTCTATGTCATTTGGGCCAAAGTTTTATTGATGTATATCAAGCATTGAAAAGTATATCTTTGAATAAAGTCTTTGATTGATATGAACGCTTGTCACATGATTTCACATGTCTTTGTTGTTCCTCTTTGCTTCTGCCGTATTGATGTATATATGTGTATATATATATATATATATATATATATATATATATATATATATATATATATATATGGCATAACGTTATATTGTATCTATTATTGAACTCACTAAGCGTCACCGCTTACCCTATCAATGTTTAACAATTGTAGGTGATAAGTAACTAGTATGATCACATACTGTTGAAAGATTTAGAATAGTTTGTAATAGTACTTTTGTACTCCGGTTTATGTTTGTATAAATTACAATATCCTGGGTAGTTATGTAATATATAACACTTTGTAATAGTCGGTTTGTATCCAGTAGTTTGTAATCTCTTTATCAATGTAAAATATTGATTTTATGAATATGCA